CTAAGCAATGGGTTCTCTGGACAGATCTGACCATGGAATCGGTCGAACTTACGGGAGACTTTCAATTGGGAATTCATTAGGTCTTCATCATTTATTTGCTTAACGATAAATAAAAGTTGATATTTAATTTAATTTGTCGCAATGAAACTTCATTCATTACAACTTTATTCGTTTCCTTCATATGATCAGTTGTAATTTTCAACATTTTGACTACAAAACTATTGCAACCATCAAAACATTTGACGCGCGTGTGAACGTGCGTATCATCCACACAATTAGCTGAAGGCATCTTAATTAGGGTCTAATTCGTTCAGCGGCAACAAAATTAGCGAGCGTCATCGCGTCGGACAAGCGTGGTGCGCTCGTTAGTACGTAGTGGTACGGCGGGTTTTATTGTGCAAATCAGTTGGTGCAATTAGCATAACAAACGGGTGTGCACGCACGGACAGTTCCGAGTGGACGTTAGGGCCGGGACACACGGTGCACGGCCAGACTGCCAAGCGCCGTGCTCGCCAGACCGTGTCTAACTCAGCTGTGCCCACTTTACAACTTATTGACGGAATTTTGAGCTAAATATATCTGCATCAACGGTGATCAAAATAATTTTGTTACTCAATTAAAAACAACGTTTCATTACGCAATCTATTAGTTTTCCTTCTCTATTTCTAATAAATCACTTCTTCCACTTTTAAAACTGTTACGTCAGAATGACTTTAAGTACCTACCAATTTTTGATAAACGTTTATTATATCAATAGTACACAAATGTCTATTTTCCGAATATTATACCGGACTCTGTAAACCTGAGTGCGTGAGTGGAAATATATTGGAGGCCGGAAGAAACCGCAAGGATAATAATTATCGAGAAAATCTGTCTAGAATTCCATTATCGGAATGAGTGACGTCCCACGGGAGGCGGCGTCCGCTGCAACCATCGGGGACGTCCGCAGCGAGACCAAGTTATTGTAATGAGAGCGACAGGGATATTTATGCCCCACCACGCGTCCCGAATACGCAATGAGTCTAGAGCCTCGCGCAACGGATATTCCGATATTCGGATATTCAATATAAGGGAGGGATACACTCGGAATTTTTGTTATTTGCGACATTATTTACTCCGCAAACATTACCGACAGGTGCCTACTGGCGCTTTTGCATCGGCAAAGAGCCGGCCTTGTTCGTAAATTGATACCATAAGCCTCTAAAAGGGCTCTTTTCAATTCTAAAAGCGTGTCACGTTTTTTCTTTCTTGCTTACTTGTTACAATATTTGTTTATGCAAAGCAAAGTATACAAACAGAAATGCTAAGGGCGTAAATATCCGCTATTAAATAAATAAGATAGTAACTTAATATCAACCCGATTCATAGTATGGTTTTTGTTTTCGTTCTAGAAGATAATCTAGTATAGTAACACATGTAATTTTGTAAACTTTAAACCAAATTATCCCAACAAACTTGTTCACACAAAGTAATAACTCAAGTGTACATATGTTGTAGCAACAACTCCCATTAGACCGAACTGACGAAATTATGTAAGTTCTCAGTCCGTTAATATTGATGGAACCAATTTATTATGCGGGAATATCAATTATTCTAGTTTATTAATTACTACGTCCAATAACGTTTACAATCTAGTTTTAATTTCATTAAGATATTCAGTAAGAAGTAATAATTACAATCTAACTTAACAAACAAGACAACCGCACACGAAGGATCAAATCAAAGCTTATTTACGGAAGCTTTGACTCGGATTACACTAGGAAGTTATGGCATTAGGATATCACAAAAACCTAGATGAAGATAGACGCCTATTAAAATACACCCGTATTTTACTGATCTGAAACTTTTCTTACTGAAATTCCTAATCCGTAAGAAATCTAAATCACATCTCAATTTTACCAATTCATGTATTTTATGTTTGATAAATCCGAATCAAAATAATATTTTAATAACGCATTCATGGGGAAAAAAAGAAGTTAATAGCGTCGGAAACTATGAAAGGAACCTTTCAAATCCTTTGACAATAGTAAGGTGTCCCTTCTCGACGAAGAAAATTATTTTTCCGTCAACCTTTCATTCTTGACCGTCTGTTTAAATATGGCGTCCGGCAAATATCATTCTGCCATTGTCGGGATTTGTGCCGGGATCATTCCCTCCTTTCTGTTGCAAAATGACTACAATATTTTGGAGTCGATTTATATTTTGTTTTTCTTGAAATGCTTTTACTGATATTACATGAAGAGATATAGCTTGTGGGACTCGTTTATTTGGAATAGAGTTGTGTGGAATCTTCTTGATTGTTCGTTTGTTACGCATTTTATTTTGGTCAGAATATTACTTCGAATAAGTTTTAGATCACTAAAACATCAGTTTTACCGTAATTACATTTATCTAGTACTTATTCAACATCACTTCAATTTTATTTACACCAAAAGATTAACATCCCCTTGCTTGTATATCTTCAATGTTATTCGCCAATGTCTTCGTAACGTGTGGGACATTACTTGTTCAATTGTTTTATTGTTTCGTCCGCCAACAAAGACCAACTCTGTCTAAACACGTTGTCTGCACGTGTTTCTAAGAATTGAGTCTGTAAAAACCTTTTATTACAAGACCTTTTTTTTATAACATAAGATGGCAAACGAACAAGCGGCCACCTGAATCCGCCAAAATGGCGAAGCGACCGCTGCCCATAGACATCTGCAATTGCAGATGCGTCGCCTTCCCTTATCCGACGGAGGAGGAGATGCACATAAAGAGTATATTTCCTCTTCCTATGGATCTCCTCCATCGTCAAATCCACTTCCCCTTTCCATCCTCTCATAAGAAAAGGGTGGTAAAGAGAAAGGGACTTAAATTACGATATCACCGATTACCTAATAATATTACGATATCATTTACTAATAGAACTACAATATGATGTGTTAAAAATTCAATACGATCTAGGAAGTTTCACAAGCTTGCAGCAATATAAATCAGTAGTGGTTTTATTATTGCCTTAAAATAATGGAGAAGGTCGTTCTCTTTCTCAATCCATCAGCCATTTTTTTTCTCTTCTTCTAGCATCAGCTGTAGGTGTACCGTTAATTCCTTTACTTCATTTGATACTTAAATGTACAGATATCTCGAAATCTCAAGCTAAATTCAATAAAAAAGCAATTTGTCGAAACGTCCGCTATAAAACTAATAGTTCTAATCAGTAGTTAGAGGCATTCAGAGCGGGAACTGGCAGCCATTGTTACGGCGAGCGGTAAACTTTATCTAGATAATTATCATAAGAACGAATACCAGCTACTACACTACTTAGAACTGTTAATTCTTCTTTCTTTTTATTTAGCTTTTATACTCTCTTAATTGAAATCTTTTTACATCAATTGTATTTCGTTTATCACTTTCATTGGATTTAGAGAAATTGTTTTAATAATTCATCAAAATAAAAGTTACATTAAGATACTTATAAAATTTCCAGAGTCTTACTAAGCATGATTGCTGATGAAATAAACTGGTCTAATAAGAATATACCAAAATATAAAACTGGTAAAATATCAGCAAGGGTTTTCTACAATCAGATTTTATGATTTCCTTCCGAAGCTACCCATGAATGTGTTGACACGGGACTGTTTACAATTGTCGTAAAAAGTTTTCCATAGCCGAGGACAAACTGGCAGTAGTCCTGATGTTACGAGTTTACAGACTGATATAGGCATTGGGGGGCTTATCTCTCTGATTGCCTCTATACCTTAGCGTTATACCAAAAAGTTTATATATTTTCTTATTTTTACATACCTGAAAAACTTAGCTAGTGTAAATGACTTCGAACTTCACAAAATGGTTAGTTTTGAATGGTAACAGCACAAGAAAATATCAGTAACTCGATTTTTAATGACCCTTATAGTTTGAGTGTTGCTGTCTTGTTTTACGAATACTGAGAACCAAAACGATTGTAGAGGATAAACGTACGAATGATCTTAACAAAATCACGCAATAGTTAAATAGATATAAGGAAAGTTTATGAGAAAGTTACGTATTAATTGGAGCAATACAATAAACGTTAGCGATGAATTGACGGGAAGACCGCTAAAGGAGGGCGATAACGCAAGAGACAAGTCAAGACGCGATAAAGTCAACCCCTAATAAAAAGCCGTGGTACTAAGAGTCAGATTATTGGACGACGGCTTATCTAGCAACTTAGGCCGCCCCAAATTGAGTGAACAAGAATAATGGATAAACTTTCCACTCATTGCGTATAAAGATAATGAATACACCGATTAGGAGAATGTGGTAAATATTAAGAAGGCTGTTGGAGTTGATTAGGTTGGAAACTTCCGAGTCGTTAGTAAAATAAGTCTATTTAAAATATTACTAAAGATTTAAGTAGGTAATAGATAGTGAAAATATATTCAGGTATCACAAAATAATTCATTTTGTTATAGTATTAAAAAGCCACTTTTGGTAAAATGTTTGAATCAATGTAAAGCATCCCTCTCATTGAATAAAATTTAATCTTTATTAGATTGAAAAAGCAATGTTTGTTAAACGGTTTCAGCTAATAAAAGTTATATTAAGGGAGCGAGGCACGACGAACGGGAGGAAATGAAAGCGACAAGAGAATGAAATTGGAAAACTTGTTACAAAATTACTCGAGATGAAAAAAAGAAAATAAACAAGACCTACCGAAAGTTAGTGGGACGTGATCCTCGTAGGAACTTTTATTTACCTGGGGAATCATTCCAGATATTTGTGTCAGCGTTGTTAATCATCGAGAACAACTTCGTCTGGTCCAAATGGATTTAGGTATTCGATAAAGTAAAAGTATTAGTACACAAAGTTTAGTGAAAGAAATTCTGGAAGACTTTTTTCCAAGGTTCATAAAATGTTAGGAAGTATGTTCCATGTCTAATTGTACAAAAACAAATTCTGCTTATGCTACATAGCATGTTTTAAACTATCTTTATGACATGATATAAAAATACCCTCCACTTTTCTTTAAAGGAACTCACCTTTTACTCCAGTTTCCGATCTCGGCGTAGCGTCGGCCATTTAAGCATCCGCTCCTCCTCAGTTCGCTTCCTCTTAGTGTATGCGTCGAGTTCCCGTTCGGAGTTAATATACCGACAGACGCGCTGTTGTTGTTCCGCTCCCTGTTCCTAGGGAATGTCCCTGTCCCGGTGCGGAAAGTCGCGAATTGTGGCTTACTTTCGATGTCGGGAGTGAATTGCTGGAGCGGTATCGTCACATTCCCGCTCCAACTCTTGCGGTTAACTGCGAATGTCTTCAATGTTCCATTGCCATTTGGTGACGGACTAACTCCACAGAAACTGCTTCTGTTGTGACTATTCTTTATAAATGCGCTGTTCTGCAGAGCGACTTGAGGCTTGATTGGCACCAGTGGCGATGCCTGGTCAATAGACATCGTACTTTTTATTAAAAGTAGACGCGACCTACTTATCACCTATCTACATTTTCGTCTGAAAAAGAACGAAATAAGGGCCGTTATATTGCGTGCTTATTACGATAGGTACGATATCATCAACATAGTTGCTGTTTGCGCGAAGCCAATTAAAGGCGAGCGAGCTGGAGCGAATGAAGTCGTATTGGGAACGATCGTGATATATCAATCAAGTATTGAGTAAGCGAAGCTTTGTCAACAATCTGGTTGTTAAGCGACACACAGCGCGACACTTTAATGAAAGCCTATGATTTATAGGTTAATGGATAGTGTAACACAAAACATTTCATTAAATAGAAACAACTATTACCTTCGGTACAGAAATAAATTACAGATTAAATTCATTAAAATAAAATAAAATATTTCTGTAAGTTATCATCTCTTACGAAATAAATGCTCAGTATTATTTTAAGTAAACAAACTTATTCATTACAAAGATTTTTGTTGTGAATTTAACTTAACATAAGTATATAAATGAATAAAGTTGATTTGTCCATGAATCCGTCACGGTCGTGTGAGCATTGGCCAACACCATTGTAACTATAGTATTTATTCTATCGCATATTGAAATGTTACTTTATACCGTAAACCGTTACTTATTTTATACCAGCAATTGCTAGATGAATATCCACACTTATTTATTTGATACTACTTAAACTCGAAATCGATTCTCTATCGAACTCCAATCCCAATAAAACAATTTGATAAAAATAGGATACAAAACACAGTGTGCACAGCAAACACGGACAACAATAGGAGCAAATATTTTAATTACAGATGTAACACTGGTCGTTTGCCGGCCGTTTGCATTTTGTTGACCTTGTCCACAATCACGCAATTGCGTTACAATCCGGGCGGCTGTTAGCCGCGTCCTGTAAACGGCCATTGTCATCAATTCAACTCTCGTTTAAACTGCTCGGAATCTCCTGTAGTGGTCAACGTGTTTATTAACATCCTTAATTACTTTAACCTTTGTAAACCGAGCGTCTAGTGAGAATTTTTCTTTGCTTAGTTCACTTTTGCGTAAATTATTTGTGTGTTCTATCAGCGTCATATTATCATTAGGAACCATGTATTTTATTGCATAAAACAACATAATGCGAAAAAGAGATAGCAGATCATCTTAGCCTCTACATTCATATACTAGCTGTTTCTGCGGCTCCATCCGCATGAAAAACTTTATTTTAATGTTTACATTTGTCAAATTCTTAATTGCAAATGTCAAAATTACCGTTACCAAAATAACCTTGCTTCCTAAATGTTGGCAGCTCGTATTTTATGGTCCCTTTCCCACATGAAGATTTTTTTCTAATTCATTTATCACCTAAGTTTAATAGCTTGAAAATGTATAGCCTAAAGCATGTCGTAAGTGTAGGGATTTTTATTAAAGCAAGATTTATTCTAAAATATGCTGTGATTGCTGACATCCTACGCCATAAAGTAGTGTGTTTACGCTTTATTATATTAGTATAGATAAACAAACACACTGTTTTTCTTTTAAATAATTACCAAAGTATACTCTTCTCAGAATGAAGAAGTATTGACTCTACATAAGATCCGTTCCAAAAAACCACTGACTAGAAAGTGGGTTTACCTCGAAATCATGGTAATGAGAATAACAGACCTTGCTTTTTGTAGATGTTTTTGTTTTTAAATTCGTAAATTACCTTAAAGTCATTATACATCAAAAATAGCTTGAATATTTTTATTGCTTCAAAACAACGAACACTAACACTTGTAAAATATTTACGAATACATTCTTATTTGATAATGTATTCAAGACGAAAAGAAGATTGACAGTGACCTTACAAAAATAATTATACATTAACAACAAGGCTGACAACTTTGTTTCTAGTAAGATACCTATAAGTTTTCATAATCTTACAAAAATGTAGTGTAATTGCAGCGTTTTAATTCATACTCCTGCATGATACAATACAGTCAACATTATTTGAACTTCTGCCTCAACGAATTTGGTCTCATAGGTCGTTTTAGTCCTTATTCTATAGAAAAGGGAAATATATGCTTGTACGAATTGAATATGGCAAGACGAGTGTCTTGACCCAGTCTATCTCGGAGATGGTAATTTGCTCACTATCCGCTCACGCATCGCCACGTGCTTATATAACTGTTACGTAACGTTTGGTTAGTTGCATAAGCTCACGGTAATCGACACTGCGCCGATCATATTCAAATCAGATATAAAAATACAGCATAATGTAAACCTTTTCTGAAGAGTTCCTGCAGACGACAGACTTTTATCGGCCAAAAGTTTGATCAGTATCCGTATCAAACAAAATCGTTGCAATGTACGCACCTCACTTTTGTAGTTGCAAGGGCTCTTAGTGCCTCTACCGTCTCAGAGTAGCTTCAATAATTGTAGGTTAAAAGGGCCTCTTAGTATTGGTTTGGTATCAAATCTAGACAAAGAAGTTAAGTGCAATGACTGGACAGTTTCTTTTTGTGTAAATTACACAATAATTAAAAGAAACAACTGCCTTTTTTATACGCTGCATAGACTAAGGACTAGGTTATTTTAAATCTTCAACTGAATTGGTGTAATTCAAAACACTTTGATACAAGAATACGTTGCACAATGACAGTACGCCGACTTCGGTAACAAAAGAATAAAACAATTGATGTACTTTCATAAAATGGCCAATTTCCATTCTTTCTTCCCCAACACGAAGACTTTAATGCATTTTTATAAAGCTTCGTGAATTGTCACGTGTAAACGATAGTAAGTAACAATTATCTCTCCCCCAAGATTTCTATTTGCATGAGCAAAATTACTTTAGAAGTTTCCTTTTGTGTGTACGAGTATAAAAGTCTTTTACTATAATTTACTTTCACTACAGTTTTAGCAACTTACTTTAAAAATAATCTATCATGAAATTACTATAGACAGACTAAAAATACGCAATTTTAAAAAGTATGAAAACGGAAGTTAATAACTGGTTTTTAATTTGGCAGGTGTTGCAATTAATTAGGCAATTTAATAAAGACTAAAGTTAGGTTCATATTAATTCTCAATACCTAAAGATTCCTAATTAACATGAATGATTGACTCCGACTTTATACATATACCAAAAAGTTTATTTGATGATTTCCTGATAAAAGTATTTATCATTTTTTAATAATTATTATTTTTTTCAACTGTTTTTACGTAAGGTGTTTTGGACAAACAAATAAATATAAATGAAAAGGTGCAAGTCATTGGTTGGCAATGTGGTTACTTTGATTGCAATATCGATAGCTGGCAGGTGTTAAAATTTTGTTTTTTAACAACAAAACTTCTTACATTATTAAACCGTAAAATTTTACCCTGGAGATCTTTAATTTGTACAGAAAACACTACACTAAAAACAATTGTTATAAATTATTGTAATTCGCATAACAATTAAATAATTCACTCTGAAACTGAAACAGGCAACATAATATATGGCTATTTAATATAATTATAAAGGACCATTTACACACAGCTTACGAGTAAGTTAAAATTTATATGTGGTGGGGAGTGCGGGGGTAAATGGGCAACCTCCACCCGCAATGGCCGCCTAGTCTATCTGCCTCACTAAATAATAAACGAAGCCACGACTATCACACGATAAAGTAACTGTAGTACTCTTGCAAACTAATAACAAAAGTTGTTTAGTAACGGTATACACGTAATCTTTCTTTAGATTTAAAGTATTTTTGCTGTTCGAACTAGTATTTTTACTGTCTTTCAAGTCGAAGTTGATATGTTAATTTTATAATCAAATCTACATTTGAAATTTAAATAAAAAATCTATCTCTATGAAAATTCGTTGCTCGGATTGTTGTAGCATTTATTCTATGTAGTAATCTAGAATCATAAACGTGGGCTTTCACTGACAAAGCATAAATATGAGCTGAGATTATGTAGAATTAGATTACGTATATTTTTAGGGAGATTCATTCTGCTGAAATCTCAAAGTAAAAGTATTGTAATATAAATGTTGTTTATTGAAAAAAAGACGATTATAAATAGAGTAAAAGACATTCGAAGTCCGGTTATTTCGAATTGATCGATAAAAATATATTTTTTAATATCTAATATACCAGATGTTCGAAAGGTGAGCATAATATGCGTTTAACGCAGGAGTAAGCAATTAACGTATCACACGCGAGGCCGCGGTGAATCACTGGCGCCGAGGAATGTGATTGTCTCTGCAGACGGTTTATATCCACACACATATAAAACATACAAGACTATTAGTAGTTCACAATCATACATCTTTCCTGCAATTTATAGTGTAAGTTATATATAAAAACATCAAGGCATCTGGGAAAAATGATTCAAATATATTGTACTAGCTATCGTCCGCGACTGCGACCACGTGAAATAAAAAAGTACATGTAAGTAACCTGTGTTCTTCCAGATTATCTGTGCCAAATTTCATCGAAATCCGTTCAGTCGTTTAGGCTAGAAACTCTAACAAACATCCATCCATTCATCTAAACTTTCGCATTTATAATATTAGTAGGAAAAGTGGAAATTAGTAGGATTAAAGACCTAGCATTAGTACTTCATACTTCGTAATGTGGGCATTGTAACATAAAATTACCATGTTAAATTTATACGGTTATCTGTAACTATATTCTACAAGTAACTATTCACATTGACTCCAACAAGTTGTTACGACATTTCATAAAGCATTGTGATTTAACTGTAGGTGCGGTAAACGGTAGTCGATTCCGTTATAACAAGATACTGGAATTACTTTATACAATTTATACTACCTTCTTCCCATTAACACAACGTAGGGCGCACATTACTTTGACTACCAAGCAAAGTATATTCAAATACACAGAATAGAACATCACTAAAATACGGCCTTGTACACTAGGCTTTAATGTTCCGAATATTCTTGACGAGGGATAGTGTATCTAATTTGCCTGGCTATTCGCTATGTCTTTACAGTTAAACCAGTCTATAGGTTGATTTTAAGTCTTTGAAGTCAGGTCCAAGATAATTAAAAAGGCTCTAAGCTTGTG